TGAAGACAAGCAGATAAGCTCTGACACAAAACAAGCAAAGCTGGCACTGAGGTAAGTAGCAGGAAAAGCACTGGCAGGAGACAGTATTCTGTCAGAATAGGACAGCAAAGGAGGACAGTCAGCCACAAAGACATTATGACTCGGAGACACATCAGTACCTAGGAAAAGACCAGGCTGAGAAGCAGCCACCCTGCAAAGGAGCAACCAGTCCTCAGAAAAGCATGTCTTGAAAAGGAAGACAAAAAGTATTAAGACGACAATTCAAGAAAAGAAAAAAGAAAGTCACTGCTAGTAAATGGTGGGGGAGGGTATAGGGGAAGCGAGGGAATGAGTGGGAGAGGGGAGAGGACAGAGGAAACAAGAAGAGAAAAGAGAGGGGAAAGGAGCCTGCACCAGATGCCCCCCTCCATATAATGTCATTCTCTCCTCTTTATAATCAAGTTTGGGAAAGAACCAGCTTCCCTCTCTCAAAGCCCTTCACTCTGTAATCCACAACAATGAAGCTCCAGAGACTCCTCACCAAGTTCATTCATCCTGTCCTCAGGCTAACTCCAATGGAAACTCTGAAACCAACCTTTCTCTCAGTTCTTTACTAGCATTTAAACACGCTCAAATCCCTCTATTTAAAAAACAAAAACCAAGTTCCCCCTTTACCTGCCCTCCCTATAACCACCCCTAACTACCAGCATCAAACTTCTTGAGCACTGCTGTCTACACATGCTGGGCTCCACTTCCTCACTCTCACTAACTATTAAATCCTGATACAAACTGGCCTCCCCCTCCCATCCCTGTCATGTCACTGTTGCCTCTGCTGTGCCCTGTACTACTAACAGCTCCCAGCAGCTGAGCACGCTCTACCTGCTGAGATTTCCTCGGACGCCATAATGCCCATCCTTCTCAGTCCCAGTGTGGGAGCCTATTATCTGCTTCTTTTTCAAACACAAGAGTGCCTCAGATCTCACTCCACACCACTGCTTTTCTTACTCTATACACACTCCTCAAATAACCTCATCTACTCCAACAGCTTCCATTAACAAATACTGCACAGGCAAAGGCAGGAGTTTCAAAACTTTCTCTGTTCATCACACCCTTAAAGTCTCAGGCCAAAAGGTATGCTTATTGAATAAAGAAAATGTTAACAATGTGGGTATTTATGTCCAAACAACTTGGTACCAACTTGAAAAAAAATACACTTTGAGAGAAAATGGTATTTTTATTTAATTCTTAAATAACCACATTTATTGATGCAGTATGTGTGCACCTGTTGAGCACTGCTTCTCTCAAACCTTGGGGTCAGACTGGACATGGCCTCCCTCATTTCCTTTTCCACGCTGATTTTTACGTGATACAGCAACTACCAAAAATCCCTCTTTACAAACATGAGGTCATCGAATGGAATGGAGTGCAATCTAGTCTAGAAACTTTTAACTACCTTGAGCTAGTGGATTCCACAGACTTGGACAGATGGAACTATGACTGTTTTCCTCAACAATGTGAAACATCCCCCAATCTCCCAGTTTGCTGTGGCACCTTAGCTGAAAGTCTGGGAAACTCTCAAACTGTTTGGGACAGTTTGGGACAGCCAGTAACTCTCAGATGCGTCTCTCCAATCCAGACAACTCCTGATGTCTGGATCCCTAGTGTAGCCAAGTGAACACGATGTCCCCTCGGCACCTGAAACGTAACCCAGTCAAGTGTGACCCATCATCTTTCCTTCAAAATGGATGCTGCTGTCACCATCTATGGACAGTGCCATCACCCAACCACTCAGCCAGAGCTGGCACTGTCCTGAACTCCTCCCTGCCCCAACTCCCCTGCCATACATACACACACATGGGCAATGATCAAATCCCAGCAATTCTACCTCCTCAAATTTCCCTCCTTCCAGCCTTCCCTCTTCTGACCCATTCTCCAAAGGGCAAATTTGACCATGTCCCTCTTTTGCTCACAATTCTTCAACCATTTCCTATTGCCCACAGAAGAGTCCAAACCTCACACAACAGGAATCACAAGACCCCACATGGCACAGCCCCTCATTACTTCTCCTCCCTCACTTGCCACTTCCCTGCTCTTGCCTGCAACCACCCCACTGGACTTAACTCCTGGTGTTTGTGGTTGCTCCAGTACATCACCTCCTGACCATCTTTGTACACTCTCTCCTCAACCTGGAATTTGGTCAATTCCTCCTAATGGTACTTCCTCTGGGAGGCTTTCCTGTCTCTCTGAATGTCCCTAAGTTTGGGTTTACGGTCCTCTTCTGAGCTCTTGTTGCCGGCCCCTTTCAGAACTCATATCATACATTGTAACCAATGGTTAAAACTCTTTGATACTGAACTGCACAGCAAGCTCACTGGGGGCTGACAGAGGTATCTGTCCTGTTTATCTCTGTATCCTTGGCATATATTAAAACTCTGAAGTGTAATGAATGAATAAAGCAAGTGAATGAATGGATTCGGTCATGCACGAGTCTCCCGCATCCATCACTGATTACTGACTCTATCACGGTACTTATCACACTTCACTGTAATTGCTTGTCCTGGTAGACTATGAACATTTTGAAAGTGCCTGTCTCTTATTTTTGCAACTAGTGATTAAAATAGTGCCTGGCACTTAGTAGGCATTAAATAAATGTTTTTTTTTTTTAATATAGAAGGTTGTACATTTAATCTACAGTGTTAAATGGGGAAAAAATCCAGAGGGATATACCCTATATTATGGTTACCTCTGAAGAAAGAAATAGGACAACAATAAGAAGGGAAAAAGAAAACTGAGGCGGTTTAACCTCTATAAATCTCTGTTGATATTGTTTATTTTATAATGTACATAATTTATGTATTACTGCCATAAAATATTTCTGTATTCCCATAAAGTCAAGCCACAGGTAAAGGTCCAGTCCTGAAGAAGAATGTGTGGGGATGTCAGAAGTATTTGGTTACACATGTTCAAGAGCAAAGTCAAAAAAAAAAAAGCCTGACTTGAAAGAAACTGAGCCCTTAAAAAATCGGACTGAGAAGTTGAGAGATTCAAGGTTTACAGCAATGGAGAGCCACCCCCAAGTGAAAAACATGATCTGTGAGTACTCATCAAAGAAAGTCCTAGGTACTCCAAGGACGACCACTAGTACTAGCCCATGAGTAAGGACAATTCATTTAATACTTATAATGCAACTGTTTTAATCAAAACATCCCAATAACCAACCAAAAGCTTACTGACCACATACAGGTTTCTACAGGAACTGTAATGGGTGACTACAAAGACACACTGACAAGAGACAGGAGGCTACAATGTCGGCAAGACCACTTAGCAAAGTGTGTTCCACCTTTATTTTCAGAATTGTTGAAGACAGTGAAGCACATCACTGACTATTAGGTTGTACATTTTAAAGCAAACAGTTTTTTTTTTTTTTTAATGCTGTTAAGCAACTTCAGGTCAGCAACTGGAAATGCTAGAACAATTTCTATGTGTAGATAGTTCTAGAATTAGCACAGATTGGAAGGTAAATATACATAGCGGACCAAACGTTCCAATGTTTAAACATGTGAAAAGACACAGCATTTGTGAATATCAACTAAGAAAATCTTTCAAAATGAAGAAAAATGAGTACTACACTGAAGTCATTAGAACCCTAGGAGAAGGGAGCTGGAGGGGACACAATGAGAATGCCTTTGGGAAAGGTCAAGCCCAGCTTTCTTCTGTTTAACCTCTCAAGCAGATAAAAGAACTAGTTTAAAGAACCCTGGCCTTGTTTAACTGCTAGAAAAGGAGAGTTGGGTAAAACGCATATAAAAAGAAGCAATAGAATTTGCCCTAGAGGCAATAGAAAGATTAGTCAATTACAACACTTTGAACTTAGTTTTGATAGAGTCGAATTTTGAGTTTTAGACAAACCTAGTTTTTCAGATGTAAATATTTCAAATAGTTATCCTCTCTCCCTTATAAAATGTAGATTTTGAATCTTGTTAAAATATGCTCTGTTATGCATTTGATTTGAAAAGCTGCAAAAAGTGGTCTCTTTAATTTTCAGCTTTTGAAAACTCAAAGACTGTTGTTGGAAGTAAACTGCCAATTTAAAAATTAACCTTAAAATGAGAAAGAATTCCTGTGATGCTCCCATTTATCCCTAACCCCATCACATAGTTTCTAATTAATTAAGAACTCTCCTCTCGACCAGGAAACTCTCCGTTGCAGAGGGGCCAGATCAAGAAGCAACCGCTATTGCCCGTCAGCATCACAAACCAAGAAGAAGATTCTGCCCTCACTAAAGCCCCGGAGCGGAGGCGAGGCGGCCCCCACCCGGCGCGCGGGTAAAGTCTCCCGGGGATGATCCCCCCAGGGCAACGCGGCTCCGGGCGTGCGGTCCCCTGCACTCGCGGGCCGCCCCACCTCCTCCCCTGCACTCTGTGAGTCCAGCCTGGCCTCTGAGGCCAGGAGCCACGCGGCCCCGCAGCCTCCGGGGAGAGAGCGCCCGCAACCGCCGCGCACGCGGGCACCGAGAGGGCGCAGGCCAGGGCGGGGAGGGCCGGACCCTGGGGGCGGGGGCGAGTGGAGCTGGACCAGACCCGGAGAAGGCGCGCAGACACTGAAGGGATCCGAAGGTACCGGACGCCGGGATGCCCAGGGCGTCGTGCGTGGGGCGAGAGCGAAGGCCCGGGCGCCACTTGCGGCGGGTAGGGCGGGTGGCTGCCCCGCGTCCAGAGAGCGCGCACCAGACGTCTAGGGGCCGAAGGCGCGGGAGAGAAGGGCCGCCTGGCCGCGCCGTGACGGCGATAAGCCCCTGCGGGCGCGGGAGCCGGCCGGGAGGATGCGGCTGGGCTGCGGGGACAGGCGCGGGGCGGCGCCAAAGCGCGCAGTGGGCCCCGCCGCCCGACCCGAGCGCGCGGCGATGCAGCAACTTCAGTTGGCCCTGGGGCCGCCCCTCCCCCGGCAGCCGCCCGGCCGGCAGCCGAGAGGGCCAGAGCAGCCTAGGGGGGAGAGCAGGGCCGGCCGCAGCCCTCACTCACCGCTCCGCGGTCCGGCCGCCAGCGCCGGGGCTCTGCTCCAAGCTCCATGGTCCCGCCGCGCCGCGGCCGCCCGGCGCACCCGCCTCGCACCACACCGCACGCAGCGGCGCGACGGACGCCGCCTCCGGCCCGGCCACGGCCGCGGCCACGCCCCCTCCCGGCGGGGAGGGGGCCGGCCGGAGCAGGAGGGGGGCTCAGTGCCGGCTCCACCAACCAGAGTCCACTCACTGGGACGCTTCATCAGGATTGGCGAGCGTCTAGCCCAATAGGGAGCTGGCGAGCGCGCGAGCGTCGGTGTGGAGGGGCGGGGGATTGCGGAGGAGGTGGCTCTCACCCTTCGTCCTCCGCCCCCCGCTCCGGATGAGGCTTTGGCAGAGTGCTTTCCAGCGAGGAGAGGTGGGGATACTTCGGGCCAAGGGACCCTTGTGTCACCTCTGGTTGCTAGGTGCCCATTACAGTACCTTTGAGTTTGCGTGTATATCCTAATCCTCCCTGGGTGTTGAGGGCTCCTGCACAGAGGTCCTCTACCTGTAAGGTGTCAGACGTCCTGCAGGGCTGACGCTTCAGGCAACCCTGGGAGGACTGTAGCTCCATCATGGGTTGGTTAAGATCGTTAGCGTTCTGCCTTTAAAATCTTCCCGTCTGCTTCTACACAGAATATTCTGTTTTTATCACCCTATCTCCAATCTCTCTCTACCCCAGCTGTAAGGAAATCCACAATGCTTATTAAAAATAAGATATCCCTGAAACTGCCAACATAAGCCCTGCCTCAGTGGAACATAGCCACGTGCGACCAGATGACTGAGGGATAAACAAACTTAAGAAAAAGAAAAGAGGAGGAAAGAAAAGGAAGAGAAGAAAAGATAGAAAAGCCAAGTATGTTCTAGGTAACAAAGGAAAGGGGTTTAAAAATATAGAATAAAAATGTTATCTTTATTTTAATTTGCGTGTCTTTATTCTTTTTATTTACCAATAGGATCACTAAATTGAAAACCTTTTAGGAAAAAAAATTTTTTTTTTAGGAAAAAATTTTAAATTCCAATGAAGACTTCAAGAAACACTAATTTAATTTGATTTGCTCTTGTCTTTACAGATGTGTAATAACGATCAACATCTGTTCTAGCTAGTGACAAAGTTGGACAAATGAATAGCACTTGATAATTTCACCAAAGTTTGCAACCCCAGAAATGCAGCAGAGAAATCATGCACCCCTCTTCCTAAAATGTCTAATCTATTATCCTGCATTACTTCCAAAGGAGGGATTTTAAAAGCTCTTCTTAAAGATGACGTATATTCAGTTTCCATAATGTGCCATCATTAAAAAAAATGCTGGTAAATAACAAGGTAAACAGGATTTTGGTGAATAATCACAGTGACCCAGTATTTTAAATATTGATACTGGAGTGATAAATTTCTGCTGAACTGAAAGCTAAATTGGCATTCAAATTAAAATGACTTTCCTTCATTTCATCTTCACTTACCCAGGGGAATAGCTTCCATATCTATATTTAGGTCATTAATTTAAAACTAAAAAATATGAAGGTCTAGATACCCAGAGTGTTTTCAAGGTTGCTAATCATATTTTCCCTGGCTGCTCCCCTCTTCGATGACCCACGCCCTATAAACTCCTGTTACATTTAGTTTGTACTCACTCTTAGCCCTTAATCACATCCTCCCGAAGTGTTCAGGTTTGTTTCGTATAGATCAGTCTTGTCTCTCTAATTAGATCATCAGTTCCGTGAGGATAAGGTCCTTATTTTACAGTCCTCTTTCCTCCTTTCATAATGGCTACTAAAGTACTGAACATGTGGTAAATATAATTCTATTCCTAGTGTTGTGATTCATAATACAAAGAAATTATTTCAAATATGGTCTAATGTGAACCAGTTCTTTAAATAAGAGTTGCAGCTGGTTGCAGTGACTCATGCCTATAATCCCAGCACTTTGGGAGGCCAAGGTGGGTGAATCACCTGAGGCCAAGAGTTTGAGACCAGCCTGACCAACATGGAGAAACCCTGTCTCTACTAAAAATACAAAAAATAGCTGGACATCATGGTGCATGCCTGTAATCCCAGCTACTGGGGAGGCTGAGGCAGGAGAATCGCTTGAACCTGGGAAGCAGAGGTTGCGGTGAGCTGAGAATCACACCATTGCACTCCAGTCTGGACCACAAGAGCTAAACTCCATCTCAAAAAAGAAATTGCTCAGAGCAGTCTTGTTAGAGGATTAGAGTCCACCACTAATAAGTGTCTCATCCTTAATAAGTGCTTGAAAAATGTTGCTGCTTCAGGGAGTGAATTGGTAACCTGTAACAGAATCTTGACTAAAGGTGCCTACCAAATAGGGGTGCTTCTTATCACAAAACCAGAAATCCGGAGACAGCCCCAGGGTTTCTGTAACATCTCTTCTATGGTGTCACTGTGTCTCAGGCTCCTTAGCCATTGGCTCTACTGTCTTTGTTATGTGATCTCTGTTTTCATGCTCACAGGATGCCTGCTTCCCTTCTAAGCATTGCATCACATTCAGGAGAATCGTAAGGAAAAATAGGTAAAGGGCAAAAGATCAAAGAGGTGCATGCCAATTGGTCTGCATCTTTCTGTGAAGCTCTAACCAGCACCTTCTGCTTGCATTTTCTTGGCCAGGCAGATGTCACATGACCACCCTTAGCTGCAAAGGAGTCTGAAATGCTAAGTACTTAAAGGGTGGGGGAATATTAGTGTTCTGTTAGTAATGGAAAAGAGAAATGCAGACGTTGGGTATGACAGTAGCAGTACCTTTGCTTAAATGAATTCATGATTGAGCCCTCACTCTTTATTCATAAGACCCACTTCTTTCAAAAGGCCACTCAAGTGTCAATTAAAAAAAAAAACAAAACCGTATTTTCAAGTGAGCAAAAGATCTAAACAGACACCTCACTAAAGTACAGATGACAATACACTGATGGCAAATAAACATATGCTCAATATCATATGTCATTAAGGAATTACAAATTAAAACAGCCATGAAATACCATGACATACCACGAGGATGGCTAAAATCGAAAAGCTAGCAGCAACAACAACAACAACAACAAAAATCCCTAATGATATCAAATACTGGCCAGGATACAGAGCAAAAGGAATGCCCATCCATTGTTAATGGGAATGCAAAATGGTACAACCACTTTGGAAGGCAGTCTGGCAGTTTCTCACAAAGCCAAGCATAGTCTCACAATTCAATCCAGCCATCACACTCCTAGGTATTGACCCAATTGTACTGAAAATATATCCACATGAAAACTTATCCCTGAATGTTTATTCATCATCACTAGACCCTGGAAGAAACAAAGACGTCCCTCACAAGGTGAATGAATCCCAAATTGCAGTACATCCATACAACAGAATGTTATTCCATGATAAAAAGAAATTAACTATCAACCCATACAAAGACATGGAGGAAACTTAAATGCATATAGCTAAATGAGAAAAGTCACTCTGAGAAGGCTACAGACTATATGATTCTAAGTATATGCATTCTGGAAACAGCAAATATATGAAGATAGTAAAAATATCAGGGACTGCTAGGAGGTGGGAGGGGAGGGGAGACGTTAGGGCAGAGCAACTGCTCTGTACAATCTTGTAATGGTGGCTATACATCATTCATTTGTCAAAACCCAGAGAACATACAACACAAAGAGTGAACCCTAATGTAAACTGTGGATTTTTGTTAATAAAAAAGCATCAATATTGGTTCATTAATTGTAAACAAATGTATCACGTTAATGTAAGATAATAATGGGGCAACAGTAAAGAAGATGATGGGTATGCAGAACTCTACATACTATCTGCTCAATTATTCTCTAAATATTAAACTACTGAAATATAGAATCTGTTGATTATTTAGGGAAAAAAAATAAGCCGATAGGAACCATAGTTAACATAATAAAGAGAAAGTTTCCTTTCTTAAAACTTTGTAAGCAAGGTCACCTTTGCTGTATTTATGACCCTTTATTGCAGTCACAAATTCTATTGCCCTTCAACTAATGGTAAATCTTTTAAAAAAGTTCTTTATCAATGTACCTTTTAAAAAGTTTTTGGGCTATGTGCAGTGGCTCACACCTGTAATCCTAGCACTATGGGAGGCCAAGGCAGGAGAATTGCTTGAGGCCAGGAATTTGAGACCAACCTGGGCAAGATAGTGAGATTCCCATCTTTGCAAAAAAATAAAATAGTAAGCCAAGAGTGGTGGCATATACCTGTAGCCCCAGCCATTCAGGAGGAGGCTGAGGCAGGAGTGTCACTTCAGCCTAAGAGATGGAGGCTGCAGTGAGCTCTTCTCACCACTGCAGTCCAGTGTGTGTGATGGAGTGAGATTTTGTCTCAAAAAAAAAAGAAAGAAAGAAAAGGAAAAAGAAAGACAAAGAAAAAACAAAAGCTTTGTGGAGGTTTTCCTAATTTTTTATATTAAAATTTTTCCAATGTAAAGAAAAATTGAAAGAATGGTACAATGAACACCCATATACCTTTACCCAATTATCTACACACTACCGCATTTGCTCCATCAGTCTCTCTCTCTCTCTCTCTCTCTCCCATGATTTTTTTAACTGAACCCCTTGAAGACAAATCGCAAACACCAAAATACTTTACCCTAAATACTTAGGCATGTATCTGCAAAATAAACATTTTTGGCTTGTTCTAGTGTAAAAGCAGAGCCGTGCAGAGCCTATAAAATGGAACTGTGGAGACTAGATACCTCAGACTTCATTACTACCCCCTCCCCACTTTTTTTCTGTAAATACTTGCCCAACCTGATATACAATGCTGTTATTATACTGAAATATAGTAAAATACATCTAGCAGCAGGGAAACCGATGACAAGGTATTGTGGTCAAGAGAATTCTGGTGATGCAAGTGACCATCGGTGTTCTGTGAAATCCCATGCATGCAGCATGCAGTGCAGCCAGTCTGGGGCCCACAGGGAAGTGAGATGCGGCTGTCTAGCATTACGATAACTGAACAGCTCCCAAGCATATTCGTAATAAAAATGTGCTTCACAACTATTTTTAAAACCTCTTGAATTGTGCCATCTTTGTTCTTTGCCTGGTCAAAATCTTGGATACATTTCTAAAGTCAAAATGTACGCGGCTTGAGTGTCCTCTTAA